TTAGGGATGGCCCACTGTAGGGACGGCCTACTGTATGGACAGTCTACTGTATGGCCTACTGTATGGACAGTCTACTGTAGGGAGGCCTACTGTATAGACAGTCTACTGTAGGGCGGCCTACTGTAGGGACAGTCTACTTTAGGGATGGGCCACTGTAGGGACGGCCTACTGTATGGACAGCCTACTGTAGGGACATGGACAGCCTACTGTAGGGTCAGTCTACTGTAGGGACGGCATACTGTATGGACAGCCTACTGTATGGACAGCCTACTGTATGGACAGTCTACTGTAGGGACAGGCTACTGTAGGGACAGCCTACTGTATGGACAGCCTACTGTATGGACAGCCTACTGAATGGACAGTCTACTGTATTGACAGCCTACTGTATGGACAGCCTACTGTAGGGACAGCTTACTGTATGGACAGCCTACTGTATGGACAGTCTACTGTAGGGACGGCTTACTGTATGGACAGCCTACTGTATGGACAGCCTACTGAATGGACAGTCTACTGTAGGGACGGCCTACTGTATGGACAGTCTACTGTAGGGCGGCCTACTGTAGGGACAGTCTACTTTAGGGATGGCCCACTGTAGGGACGGCCTACTGTATGGACAGCCTACTGTAGGGACTGTCTACTGTAGGGACGGCATACTGTAGGGACAGTCTACTGTAGGGACAGTCTACTTTAGGGACGGCCCACTGTAGGGACGGCCTACTGTATGGACAGCCTACTGTAGGGACTGTCTACTGTAGGGACGGCATACTGTAGGGACAGTCTACTGTAGGGACAGTCTACTTTAGGGACGGCCCACTGTAGGGACGGCCTACTGTATGGACAGCCTACTGTAGGGACTGTCTACTGTAGGGACGGCATACTGTAGGGACAGTCTACTGTAGGGACAGTCTACTTTAGGGACGGCCCACTGTAGGGACGGCCCACTGTATGGACATCCTACTGTAGGGCGGACTACTGTAGGGACAGCCTACTGTAGGGACGGCCCACTGTAGGGACAGTCTACTGTAGGGCGGCCTACTGTAGGGACAGTCTACTTTAGGGATGGGCCACTGTAGGGACGGCCTACTGTATGGACAGGCTACTGTAGGGACATGGACAGCCTACTGTAGGGACAGTCTACTGTAGGGACGGCATACTGTATGGACAGCCTACTGTAGGGACAGCCCACTGTAGGGACAGCCCACTGTAGGGACAGTCTACTGTAGGGACGGCCCACTGTAGGGACGGCCTACTGTATGGACGGCCTACTGTATGGACAGCCCACTGTATGGACAGCCCACTGTATGGACAGCCCACTCTAGGGACAGCCCATTGTAGGGACAGCCCACTGTACGGACTGCCTACTGTAGGGACAGCCTACTGTATGGACAGCCCACTGTATGGACAGCCCACTGTATGGACAGCCCACTCTAGGGACAGCCCATTGTAGGGACAGCCCACTGTAGGGATAGCCTACTGTAGGGACAGCCTACTGTAGGGACAGACTACTGTAGGGATAGCCTACTTTAGCAGACTGCACTAAGATACACAGTTAATTTGTTTCAAAGAAGTTCAGATACAGGGTTAAGCAAGAAAGGGATCAAGATTACTCATATGGTTTGAATAGTTACAGGGACAGGAGAAGAACAAATCACACATCTATCAGAACGCAAATACACAGCAAAACCCCATCCGTACCACAAGCAAAACAGGAAATGTTCTCTCCAGTGGAGGACGGACAGGGCTGTGGAGAGGAGAGGTGTTAGTTGGGTCCTGGATCTGAATGTTGCTCCTAATGGGCCTGTTGGCTGGGATTAGCAAGATAATCCCTCCCTGAGAGAGGCCTATGGACCTGGGAGCCTCCCTGATATTGAGCCTGCTCTGCCTACCTTGATTCCAGGGACCTCCTGGGGTTGAGGAGGGCTGGGGAAGGGGAAGCATGGAGCTGGGGCTGCATATCAAAGGCTCCTGTTCAAATCCACCCCCCATCCATCCATCCGCCACCCTCCACACAGTCATGTCATACATACATCAGGACCCTCAGTGAGGTTAACCCGGTCATGCCTCGTCCGGACGTAGATCCCCTGCTAGCTGGGGACGCAGCAGGCCCATACACAGCCCCACATGGAGCTCTGACTGACAGGAAGCTCATGGATGGGGTTCTCTTATCTCTTAAACAAACAACTCTCCTTCCCCAGGTGACCTTATTAGGATGGGCTTAACTCCTTAACCAGTCATGATCAAGCCTCTCATTTGGTTAGCTAGTAGACTGACTGGTTAGCTAGTAGACTGACCCAGACTTCCATTATACGTATGGCACTCTACCAGTCAGAGAGAGACATCTAAAAAAAATGGTAGGAAGTCAGGCAGTGAGGATTTGGCCAGCAGCCTAGTTGACCCGTGTTGCATCCCTATTTGTCCCCCCCAACCACAGGCAAAGTCAGCCTGTCTATCCCCTGTCCTCATGTGGATTCAGACAGCCCTACTCTTCCAGTCTCCCCAACAGCTCTTCCTACCCCAGGTACAGTATGAGCTGAGCTACTTCAGTCTGGGGAGGGCATCGCATCATACATACCCCTTACCATTATTCCAGACCAATGCTTTTGCTCCCCCCATGTGCCCTTTGCTATTGCCTTGTACAGGGGCCTCCGTAACATGTGTCCTGGCTTTGTGTGTGCCAACTGCTATACCCTGCAACTGTGTGGGGACACACACGAAGAGACAAACCCTCTGTTCTCCTGGACGGAACAGTGAGTGCAGCAGTGTCTCCTGTTGCTGTGACAAAGAGAGATGCTATAAACCACTGTAAACTGCCTGCAGTTGACTGTTGTTGCTTTACTGATTAGGCAAAAGCTCAGTCATGGAATCTCTCCTCTGTCACTGTAACTGGACAGCCAAACATGCAGCTGGAGAGCCAAACGTGCTTGCTCACTTAGTTTCAGCAATAACTCCAAGCTGGGGACATGGTTCACATTTAAATGTCACCAAACATCTATGTCACACCGTTTTCTTTTATTCCCATCAGTTCAGAGTGAGACTGTAGAACTTGAATGTTTAGTAGGTTGAAGAAAACATTATCTTATACTGGAAGAATAATCACCAGAATGACAATGTCCTTGGAATTGAATAAATCAGAATAGATACACCACATGACCAAAAGTATGTGAACACCTGCTCATCGAACATCTCATTCAAAAATCATGGGCATTAATATGGAGTTGGTCCCCCCTTTGCTGCTATAACAGCCTCCAGTCTTCTGGGAAGGCTTTCCACTAGATGTTGGAACATTGCTGCGGGGTCTTGCTTCCATTCAGCCACAGCAGCAAAGGGGGGACCAACTCCAAATTAATGCCCATGATTTTGGAACGAGATGTTTGACGAGCAGGTGTCCACATACTTTTATTCATGTAGTGTATAATCAACCATATGAATGTAAAAAATGACCTCAAGGAACCACATAGTGAAAATAAGTATTTAATGAAACTTAGAGGAAGTGTATCTACCAGCGCTTCCTAGTTTTATTCTGAGTGTGACTAGGGCTCCATCTGCTGGCGTTGAGTGATACTGCTCACAGTCCTACTGCCCTGAGAGGACTGTATGGAAGCCAATGCTTACAGGGCCAACCACTCTCGTGCTTAAGCGCTTCATGGCCACGCAGCCATATATAAAGATGAAACATATTTTCTGATGCTATGGTCTCTGTCTCTCTCTTTCTCTGCTGCCTTCCCCCCTCTCTCTTCCTCCCTTCTCTCTCTCTCTCCCTCCCTCTAGGTTCTCTCACTCTCTGATGCTGGGGCCAGGCATGCACCCCACAGGGATCCCCCACCCAGCCATCATGCCCCCTTCAGGGAAACAGGACCATCACGACTATTACGACAGGAACATGTACGTGTAAGTACTCCCATGGTGCACCCACACCTCTACACTGCCTCCAAGAGCTAGACACGTGACTTTCAAAGGAAATGTGTGATCAAAAAATTATAATAGAAAATAATATTAGGAAATGTGTGATCTATGTGTGGTTGCTACATGGCATGCAAAGTGTATCAAAAGCTTAGATGGATGAATGTTATTTTGTACATATTCACCATGGGTGTCCCTGTTGATTCTGTCCTCTCTCTCTGGCTAGGTCTCGGTCGGCAGAGGAGGGCGGGAGGAGGGCGGGAGACGGGGGGAGGGTTAGGGGGCGTGGGAGGCTGGATTTCTGAGGGCGCTAGATCGCTCGGGCTCTTCTATCTGTTATTCTTTCTCTGCTCTGCCTTCTGTCAAACTCTAACTCTTTCTCTGCTCTCTCTGTTAACTATCCTTTCTGTTAACTCTCTCTCGCGTCGGGTGGCGGGAGGGGCGGGCGGGGGACGGAGGGCGCGCGCGGGCAAACAGAGCGGGGCGGCGCGCGGACGCGGGGGGGGAAAGCGAAAGCGAGGGGAAGGGGGGGGTGGGGGGATGGAGGGCGGGAGGGCCCGGGGGGCGGGGGTCTGGGAGGGCGGTGAGGGAGGGCGGGAGTGAGGGAGGGAGGGAGGGATTTCCTTCCTCCGCGACAAGTATATACTCTAGTTCGAGGGAGTCGTTCTCTTGAGGACTGGGGGAAGGAGGCATCGACTATCTGTTCAAAGGGCTACTATTCTCTGATCCTATCGTCGTCTCTCTGGGAACTACTCCCTCGGGGGAGTATGTGCGAGTTATTCTTGGCTTTCTTTCTTTTTCTTTTTTTCTTCTTCTTTCTTTCGTTTGTCTAAACTCTATCTCTGTGTCTCCACTCTGTCTAATGCATCTCTCTATCTCTCTCTATCTCTCTCTATCTCCTCTCTCTATCTCTTCTCTTCTCTCTCTCTCTCTCTCTCTCTCTCTACTCTCTCTCTCCTCTCTATCTCTCTCTCTCTCTCTCTCTCTCCCCTCTCTCTCTCTCTTCTCTCTCTCTCAGTAAGCCTCACCAGGAGCCCAAGCGGGAGAAGGAGCCTAAGAAGCCGGTGATCAAGAAGCCTCTGAATGCTTTCATGCTGTACATGAAGGAGATGAGGGCCAAGGTGATCGCTGAGTGCACCCTGAAAGAGAGCGCTGCCATCAACCAGATACTGGGTAGAAGGGTGAGCAGCGAGCACACACACACACATAATGAAACATACACACTCGCACTGAAATACACACACACACACACACACACACACACACACACTGCTGAAACACACACACACCCATGAATACTCACGCAGCATAGACAGATTCATTCCCAAATCCCTCATCTCATCCCCTGCTGTTGATTTCACACATGAGAGATGGACTTGAGAGGAATATCTCAGTAATGTGAATTACTACCTTGTGAGTTACCCCCTGCACCTGACTGACTGCTGACACTATACCATTAACCAAGATGCAGAAATATCTCAATGTGAATAATACCATAGTTTATAATTGTGTTTATATCCCAACAAATGCATCCAGTGTCACCTATTAGAGACGATCAACACAGAGGTTCTAGTCATGGGAACTGATGTCACAGTTCTGATCTCATCATTGTCTCTGCATCATTGTCTAGGCTAAGGAACAAAATCTAAATGGTTTCTTTGTTTTGTGTGTTTGTGCATGTGTGTCTCCCCTGCAGTGGCACGCCCTGACCCGGGAGGAGCAGGCCAAGTACTATGAGCTGGCCAGAAAGGAACGGCAGCTACATATGCAGCTCTACCCCAGCTGGTCCGCCAGAGACAACTACGTAAGGCCCGCCTCTTCTGCTTACACACACACAGCATGATCACCACACCCTGCCAACTGTCAAGCAATAAGGCTAGTGTCTACACATAGAAATATAAACCTATTCTATCCAATCTATACAGTATTTATTTGGCACATTTCCAGAGTTGGTCATGTATCAGTGCAGATGATGTTAGAGAGACTAGTCCAGGGTTTCACAAACTCGGTCCTGGGGACCCCAAGGGGTGGACGTTTTGTTTTTTGCCCTAGCATTACACAGCTGATTCAAATAATCAACTAATCATCAAGCTTTGATCATTTGAATCAGCTGTGTAGTGTTAGGGAAAAAAAACCAAAACATGCAGCCCTTAGGGTCCAGAGGACAGAGTTTTGGAAACCCTGGACTAGTCTATGACTGTAGTGTTATGACCAGTGTTATAACCTCTATGACCAGTGTTATAACCTCTTGGCATGCCATTCCTTTAGAGTGGGTTTTGAGAATGAGATAGGGCATACTAGACATTAGTTGGTCATTAATGGCTGTTCAGTGCTGTTCAGAGAGGTGATTTAATTGGCTGTTGAGTGCTTCGCTGTTAGGGACGCATGACGAGCTTTGCTTTTATTACACATAGCATTACACAGTCAGCTCCCCTCTCATCTCTGTATTACTCTAATAGCTTTTTATATCACTGGTAGTTATATGCATGGAGGGCAGCCTTGTACTGTTGCAACTGGACCCTAGTATAAGTGCACTGACTATGAAATCTGTAATTAATAGTGGGCTTGCTTGTAAAATGAGTTAATAAGTAGTTAAGAGAATTGCTTCAAATACTGTGCAGATAAATATGATGTGTAGTAGAGAGACATGTTAACGTCTCTATGTAATGTCTGTTGCTGCTTAACTACTCTTCTGTGCTATGCTCAATTGTTAAGTTGCTGTTGAACTCTTCCAGGATGCAGGCCTTAGAGAGTGCGCGGGGGAAAAGAGTAAAGCTGATTGGGTAGGGCACACATTTTACCCCCCTAACCGCTCTACTAACAGCAGGGTGGCTTTGGCTTGCTCTCCTCCTCAGGCGGTGAGGCTCGGACTGTTGAGAGGGAGAGGACAGCTGGGAGCTGGGCTGGAGAGGCTTTCTGGGCTTTGGGGGGACCACTATTAGGCTATACCCTCCCTTGGGGCAGGCACTGAGGGGTGGAGGTGGCTTATGTTATGTTAGCTAGCTATGTATCTGGATGTGTTTCTATGGAAGGTGGTTTTCCTGGACTATAATTGCCAGTCTTCTCTCACCCCATATGAAAACAGACAGGATGAGTCTCAAAGGGAAAGAGCTCACTTTCTTGCCTTCCTGGAGATCTTTTACACGGCCTATTTCCTTTCCTTGGCTTGATAGAGTTTGGGCTTCTGTATCATAACACACAATAGGGACTTGGCTCTCTCATTTCTCTCTCTCTCTTGGCTGTGGATAGTTGTGAGATTAGCTGGTTAGGGTAAAGAGTGTTATGAGCTGTGGTGGCATTGTCAATGAGGTTGTGCATGAAGCTTTTACGACTGCATCTGATTTAGTATAAATCAGATTAATATGACGCAATGTACTGTGGATGAAGTTTGTTTCATGTGAACATACATTTTACTCTTTAACACTTTAATCTCTAGTTCCGTGTATCTTTCTTTTGATTTCACCAAAGATGGAAAAAATAGTCTGAGAAAATGCTGTCCCAAAACACATTAAAACTGATTGCAGCTCTGGTCTACCCCCTGCTATAGTCTACCCTTCCCAAACACAAGCCAGAAAACAAGGGTAGTCATGTGATCAGTTATCAGAACAGGAAAAGGAAGGCCACCCACGCAGTCGTGGGGTTTTCTCCCATGGGCCATAACCACACACACACACACACACTGCTTCAGGGAGCAGCGAGGGTAGACGAGTCTCTGCGTAGGCATCAAAGAGCTGTTCCCACATCCTCTCCCCAATGTGACATTTCAGACTTAATCACTCTCTTCAGGATAACAACCCCGACCATGTCTGTGCTACCATTACGGTCCCACTGTATAGCCCATGGAGTTTAAAGCAGTATGGTGGTGCTAGGGGAATCCATTACTGTGGATAGTTAGACTTATATATAGTCATTTGTGGCCTGAATGATCATGAAGTGTCCTCAGACCCCATTCCATGACTTGTGAATTGGGCGTCTCTGCTACACGAGGCTCATGAACATGGTGAATATCATAACATGGTTCTACCATGTCTTCATAGAGATGTCATTGACAGATAACATAGAAACGTGTTCCCCCCTACTGACTCTCTGTGTGTCTGGTTGTGTTCCCCCTACTGACTCTCTGTGTGTCTGGTTGTGTTCCCCCTACTGACTCTCTGTGTGTCTGGTTGTGTTCCCCCCTACTGACTCTCTGTGTGTCTGGTAATGTTTCCCCTACTGACTCTCTGTGTGTCTGGTTGTGTTCCTCCCTACTGACTCTATGTGTCTGGTTGTGTTTCCCCTACTGACTCTCTGTGTGTCTGGTTGTGTTCCCACTACTGACTCTCTGAGTGTCTGGTTGTGTTCCCCCCTACTGACTCTCTGTGTGTCTGGTTGTGTTCCCCCCTACTGACTCTCTGTGTGTCTGGTTGTGTTCCTCCCTACTGACTCTATGTGTGTCTGGTTGTGTTTCCCCTACTGACTCTCTGTGTGTCTGGTTGTGTTCCCACTACTGACTCTCTGAGTGTCTGGTTGTGTTCCCCCCTACTGACTCTCTGTGTGTCTGGTTGTGTTCCCCCCTACTGACTCTCTGTGTGTCTGGTTGCGTTCCCCCTTACTGACGCTCTGTGTGTCTGGTTGTGTTCCCCCCTACTGACTCTCTGTGTGTCTGGTTGTGTTCCCCCTTACTGACGCTCTGTGTATCTGGTTGTGTTCCCCCCTACTGACTCTCTGTGTGTCTGGTTGCGTTCCCCCTTACTGACGCTCTGTGTGTCTGGTTGTGTTCCCCCCTACTGACTCTCTGTGTGTCTGGTTGTGTTCCCCCTTACTGACGCTCTGTGTATCTGGTTGTGTTCCCCACTACTGACTCTCTGTGTGTCTGGTTGTGTTCCCCCCTACTGACTCTCAGTGTGTCTGGTTGTGTTTCCTCCCTACTGACTCTATGTGTGTCTGGTTGTGTTTCCCCTACTGACTCTCTGTGTGTCTGGTTGTGTTCCCCCTTACTGTCTCTCTGTGTGTCGGGTTGTGTTCCCCCCTACTGACTCTCTGTGTGTCTGGTTGTGTTCCCCCCTACTGACTCTCTGTGTGTCTGGTTGTGTTCCCCTTACTGTCTCTCTGTGTGTCGGGTTGTGTTCCCCCCTACTGACTCTCTGTGTGTCTGGTTGTTTCACTCCTACTGACTCTATGTGTGTCTGGTTGTGTTCCCCCCTACTGACTCTCTGTGTGTCTGGTTGTTTTCCCCCTACTGTCTCTCTGTGTGTCTGGTAATGTTTCCCCTTACTGACTCTCTGTGTGTCTGGTTGTGTTCCCACTACTGACCTCTGGTGTATGGTGTTTTCCCCCCTACTGACTCTCTGAGTGTCTGGTTGTGTTCCCCTACTGACTCTCTGTGTGTCTGGTTGTGTTCCCCCCTACTGACTCTCTGTGTGTTGGTTGGTGTTCCCCTACGACTCTCTGGTGTCTGGTTGTGTTCCCCCCTACTGACTCTCTGTGTGTCTGGTTGTGTTCCCCCTACTGACTCTCTGTGTGTCTGGTTGTGTTCCCCCCTACTGACTCTCTGTGTTTCTGGTTGTGTTCCCCCTACTGACTCTCTGTGTGTCTGGTTGTGTTCCCCCTACTGACTCTCTGTGTGTCTGTTGTGTTCTCCCTATGACTCTCTGTGTGTCTGGTTGTGTTCCCCTACTGACTCTCTGAGTGTCTGGTTGTGTTCCCCTATTGACTCTCTGTGTGTCTGGTTGTGTTCCCCCCTACGATTTATGTGTTTCTGGTTGTGTTCCCCCTACTGACTCTCTGAGTGTCTGGTTGTGTTCCCCCCTACTGACTCTCTGTGTGTCTGGTTGTGTTCCCCCTACTGACTCTATGTGTTTCTGGTTGTGTTCCCCCCTACTGACTCTCTGTGTGTCTGGTTGTGTTCCCCCTACTGACTCTCTGTGTGTCTGGTTGTGTTCTCCCTATTGACTCTCTGTGTGTCTGGTTGTGTTCCCCCCTACGGTATCTATGTGTTTCTGGTTGTGTTCCCCCTACTGACTCTCTGAGTGTCTGGTTGTGTTCCCCCTACTGACTCTCTGTGTGTCTGGTTGTGTTCCCCCCTACTGACTCTCTGTGTGTCTGGTTATGTTTCCCCTACTGACTCTCTGAGTGTCTGGTTGTGTTCCCCCCTACTGACTCTCTGTGTGTCTGGTTATGTTTTCCCTACTGACTCTCTGAGTGTCTGGTTGTGTTCCCACTACTGACTCTCTGTGTGTCTGGTTGTGTTCCTCCTACTGACTCTCTGTGTGTCTGGTTGTGTTCCCCCCTACTGACTCTCTGAGTGTCTGGTTGTGTTCCCCCTACTGACTCTCTGAGTGTCTGGTTGTGTTTCCCCTACTGACTCTCTGAGTGTCTGGTTGTGTTCCCCCCTACTGACTCTCTGTGTGTCTGGTTGTGTTCCCCTTACTGACTCTCTGTGTGTCTGGTTGTGTTTCCCCCTATTGACTCTCTGAGTGTCTGGTTGTGTTCCCCCTACTGACTCTCTGAGTGTCTGGTTGTGTTCCCCCTACTGACTCTCTGTGTGTCTGGTTATGTTTCCCCTACTGACTCTCTGTGTGTCTGGTTGTGTTCCCCCCTACTGACTCTCAGTGTGTCTGGTTATGTTCCCCCCTACTGACTCTCTGTGTGTCTGGTTGTGTTCCCCCTACTGACTCTCAGTGTGTCTGGTTATGTTCCCCCCTACTGACTCTCAGTGTATCTGGTTGTGTTCCCCGCTACTGACTCTCTGTGTGTCTGGTTGTGTTCCCCCTACTGACTCTCTGTGTGTTTGGTTGTGTTTCCCCTACTGACTCGGTGTTTGTCTGGTTGTGTTCCCCCTACTGACTCTATGTGTGTCTGGTTGTGTTCCTCCTACTGACTCTCTGTGTGTCTGGTTGTGTTCCCCCTACTGACTCTCTGTGTGTCTGTTTGTGTTCCCCGCTACTGACTCTCTGTGTGTCTGGTTGTGTTCCCCCTACTGACTCTCTGTGTGTCTGGTTGTGTTCCCCGCTACTGACTCTCTGTGTGTTTGGTTGTGTTTCCCCTACTGACTCTGTGTTTGTCTGGTAATGTTTCCCCTACTGACTCTCTGTGTGTCTGGTTGTGTTCCTCCCTACTGACTCTCTGTGTGTCTGGTTGTGTTCCCCTTATTGACTCCCTGTGTGTCTGGTTGTGTTCCTCCCTACTGACTCTCTGTGTGTCTAGTGTGTTCCCCCTACTGACTCTCTGAGTGTCTGGTTGTGTTCCCCCTACTGACTCTCTGTGTGTCTGGTTGTGTTCCCCCTACTGACTCTCTGTGTGTTTTTGTTCCCCCCTACTGACTCTCTGTGTCTCTGGTTGTGTTCCCCCCTACTGACTCTCTGTGTCTCTGGTTGTGTTCCCCCCTACTGACTCTCTGTGTGTCTGGTTGTGTTTCCTCCTATTGATTCTCTGTGTGTCTGGTTGTGTTCCCCCTACTGACTCTCTGTGTGTCTGGTTGTGTTTCCCCCTACTGACTCTCTGTGTGTCTGGTTGTGTTCCCCCTACTGACTCTCTGAGTGTCTGGTTGTGTTCCTCCCTACTGACTCTCTGTGTGTCTGGTTGTGTTTCCCCCTACTGACTCTCGGTGTGTCTGGTTGTGTTCCCCCCTACTGACTCTCTGTGCGTCTAGTTGTGTTCCCCACTACTGACTGTGTATTTCTGGTTGTGTTCCCCTTACTGACTCTCTTTGTGTCTGGTTGTGTTCCCCCTACTGACTCTCTGTGTGTCTGGTTGTGTTCCCCCTACTGACTCTCTGTGTCTGGTTTTGTTCCCCCCTACTGACTCTCTGTGTGTCTGGCTGTGTTCCCCCCTACTGACTCTCTGTGTCTCTGGTTGTGTTCCCCCCTATTGATTCTCTATGTGTCTGGTTGTGTTCCCCCTACTGACTCTCTGTGTGTCTGGTTGTGTTCCCCCCTACTGACTCTCTGTGTGTCTGGTT